GGGTGAGGAAGGAGAGCGAGTCAAATGATTTGCCACTTTGTTTTAAGTCACTTTATTGATTGCACGACACTTATCGAGAATGCGGTTCGACGGCTAAGTATTTCGAGACGGAGATCTTCATGTGCCGACGGCCGGGTCAGCCGAGCGCGATGGAAATCTTGCTGAGCGATACTCGTTCGCTCCGCGGACGGAAATCTTGCACGCGAGCGACGGAGATCTTCCGCGACCCTGGCGCGCGTCCGCGAGCCGTCGAACGAACTATGTCTCGAAAGCGTGGGTGTCACAATGTCGTTACACAATATATACACAAATATACACAACGCACAAAATTACAGAACCGAGTGACGCGAGAGAAGGACGCAAGACGCGTCGAAAGAGCCACAATCCGGTTGATCGTGGTTCAAGATCGCAGAGGCCGCGGAGGCCTAGACTGATAGTGCGCGCACGGCGCGAGCGGCAAGCGACGGACGAAATTCGCCGACTTGCGAACAAGAGCGCGGAGCTGGCCCGAGAGAGTGATCGACTCTCGGCGCTCGAGCGGAGTCGCGGCGATGCTGCGGCTCCACCGCGTCGAAGGCAGCGCGAATGCAACGGAGCTCGCGGTCCCGGCAGGATACACGATAGCCGGCGGACCGAGTGGACACGCGACGAGCTCGCCGATTCAGTTGCCTGCGCTTGAGATCAGCTGTTTTCCAGCGTACCGAGACGTGCTCCTCTCGTGTTGAGATGCGAAGCACGGACTGCCTCGTCGTCGACGAGGGCGGCTTTTAAAGAAAAGGCACTTGGCGACAGGTCGCTCGCTGGTTGGTCGCGGTTGCCGAATCTTCTAGGTCATTGCCAAATAAGGTCCGCGTGGTAACAGCGGCGATCTAGCATGCGAGGAGTAGCGCATTTGTTTGTTTGTTTGCGCGAGTGGTCGGCATGGCAACCGCAACCAAAATCAGTGCGAAAAAAATTGGACTCGCGCTGCAGCTAGCGCGAGCCTGTCGCGATGCTGACGGGCGGGCGGACGTTCTAGAACGTTCGATTGCCTTATGCTAGAAACGAAATCTCGCTCTCGAACAATAACATTTATTTCATTTTGTTCAAATTTTTTCTTTTTCTGAATTACAGCTGATACGTAAATTAAGAAGAGGTAATAGTTCAGACAATTTTGAGGATATTTTATAATTTAAACTGCAAATTGATAATAAAGAACATATAATACATACGTTTGTGTGAAAAAATTAGTAAAGAGGAATGGTAGAGGTGGGACTTTTTCTATCTTTTATAGTAATATAGAAAATTTTGAAATTATTTTTATACATTTTTTATTACAGGATGAAGAATTGTCGACTTTATTTTAATTCATTCAACTTTTGTGTGCATTGTCTGCATTACAGCCGATATATAAATTAAAAAAAAAACAATGACAAAGAGATTAAGGACAGTTTAAACTTTTTTGCTGCAAACTCATAATACAAAATACATAATATTAATGTTTTATGTTATAACATTAGCAAGGAGGACCGTCGTATTCTTGTACAATTCGACGGGGGTGGAGGTGGGATCTCTTCTATTTTTTAATAACAATGAATTATTGTGAAATAAAATTTAAAAAACCAGCTTTTTATGTATACCTAAATATTTTTCCAAGTTCAACATATAAAGTTCTTAAAAAAGAAACTCGTTTTTAGTGTTTAATATTATTTTGTAAAAAATATGTGATATAAATACAAAATTACTTTGAAAAAAAAAGATAAAAAAAAGAAGTCAAGTGCATGCGCGTTAGCATTAACTTTACAAAAAAGAATCGTTATAAATAAATTTAAAATGTTCAAGTTTAACGTATAAAGTTATTAAGAAAGAAACTTGTTTTCAATGTTTAATATTATTTTGTAAAAAAGATGTAATATAAAATCAAAATTACTTTTTCATAAAAAAGTAAAAAAAGAAGCCAAGTGCACGCGCGTTAGCATTAACTTTACAAAAAAGAATCGTTATAAATAAATTTAAAATGTTCAAGTTTAACGTATAAAGTTATTAAGAAAGAAACTTGTTTTCAATGTTTAATATTATTTTGTAAAAAAGATGTAATATAAAATCAAAATTACTTTTTCATAAAAAAGTAAAAAAAGAAGCCAAGTGCACGCGCGTTAGCATTAAACTTTACAAAAAAATTGTTATAAATAAACTTTACAAAAAATTTGTTATAAATAAACTTCACAAAAAAAACATAAATTAATTTTACAAAAAAACCGT